TACTTTCGTAAACGCTTTTCTCCGGATAAAAAACTTAAATATTTAATACTTATTTGTGAATTTTCTTTTAAAACTATATAATTCTATAATTTTTCCTGTGTTTCATTCTCTTTATATAAATATATATTATTTTATTATTTTCTTAAAATATATGAAGGAACCCACTGGTCTCAATAATTTAATATATTTAATAATTGATTCAACTAAATGTTAATTCATGCATAAATGCATTGTATTGATGTGAAACTCCAATTCTGATAGGATAATAAATAAATCAGTCTTTATGATTGTTTTATTCTAAATATTGTGAGATGTTTTCATTTCTATATGCTTTTTTTTTTTTCATAATCTACATATATGTCATGAATCTCATATTTTTGTTTAGACTTTGCTTAACTAATATATTTTTCCTTTTAATTAGTTTGTGTATAACTGCATGGTCTAACCTTATAAATCCCACTTTTAAGGATAAAAAACAAATAAATGATATACATAAAAGAGACAAAAATTTGTTTAACCATTTAAGAAATAAACGAGGAAGTTCAAAGAATCATTATAACTTTTTTTTATTGTAATATCCTACATTCGAAGAACTTTTTTTATTATTTCAGTTACTGTTTAAAAGAAATTCTTGAAATTTTCTTGATTTCTGCATTTAAACATTCGTATGTGACCATTAAAAGAGACTACTATTTATTTATTTATGAAATATTGATAGAGTAATAATAGTGATAAAAAAAATATTACATTACAAGTAAATTATTTATCATATTAAAGTGTAACAATTCTCTTTCTGGAAACAAACAAAACAGGGATGGAAGTAAGTGTCAGCTTTTATGAAGAACCTACTTGGATAGTTGAGAAGTTCCCAAAAAACGAAGGTAGCTGAGACGATAAATCAACATTCATGGCTGCTTATCATTTTGTTTCTAAATTAAACTAAATTATATATCTATTTAATCTTTATATTTAATTAAACTATGTAAACTATCTATTATGTAAAATATTTTTATAAAATAAATGACATGTAAAATAATCATCATTTAATGATTTACATTATTTTTATAAAACAAAAATAAAAAAAATAATATATCTTTTAATTTAAAAACGAATCATTTTAAAAATAATTTACAATAAAGAAAATAACTTACTCAAGAAACAATTATATATAAATTAAAAGATAATAAAAAATAGTTGAAAATACACATTAATTGATAGGTTGAAAAAAATAAATTAAAATTATAAACTAATAATAAAATATTTTATAAATAATAATTAACATAAAACAAATTGCTTATATAATAATAATAATAATAATAATAATAATAATAATAATGTTAAATTTATACTCATGGTTTACTTTTGCTAATGCAAAACTCATACTTTTTTATATTTTAACTATTAGACAAGATAAGGCACTTTTTTTTCATATATATTGTAATTGACATCTGAAGCTGAAAGGTTTAGGCATTACTAAAAGCATGGATTGAGAATTTAAAATAAAATACTGAAAATTATGTAAAACCTATATCTTCATAAAATCATTTCTCTATTAATATCCTTAACTACCACGATTAAGACACTTAGCTGTATTTATCAAAATATTATTAAAAAATGTACTGTCAAATTTTAATGAGTTTACTCGTCAAAACAATTGCTACACACACCAAAAATATATATTTATAATATAAGAAAGTAGACATTAATTATATATAGTCTCTCACCAACCAAATAGCAGAAAAGGCAAAGAAAGTTTTCCATCACATTAAATTTTTTGTGTTAATGCACAGAATTCATTAATTTGTATCAGTGGCAGCAAGCTCTTAAATTTCTTTCCTCCTGCTAGTCTCAACTAATTTTTTGTCCTTTCTTAAAAGGAAAATTTTACATGAACATCTAATTTTTTTTAACTCTATAATACACTTAAATAGAAAATTAATACTTTTAATATCACCCTTCTAAAAAAGGCTTTAATTTTAATTACTTTAATTTTTTTTTCATTTTATAATATTCCAATGTATTAAGTCTAACTTATTAATGGCAAATTCTAATGAACATTAACTGAACTAATGAATAATATTTCATTAGATAATATTTCAATAACTGAAATATCCAATAATATTTCAATTTTAATCAAATGGATAATATTTTAACAAAAAATGAACTAATGAAAAATATAAAAAAAGTTAAATATATTTTAAGTTCTGTAATAAAAGATTGAAGCTGTACTGTTTGAGTGAAATAGTGAGAAGAAAGATGATTTATGCATGAAAGCAAACCAAAGATCTGCTTTATTATTGTCAGCTTCGGAAATATCATCTTCTTTGTGTTCTGTACTTTGATTGATAAAGTCAAGTACAGATACATTAATTAAAAAGAGATAATTATCTTCAACTATTACATTATAGGTAAAAAGAAGAGTATTATATGCGACTTTTTCATAATCAAATTCATGAGATCAAAAAAATATATTTTTTTAAAAAAGTTGAAGTTGTCACTTAGTAAAGACTTTTTTTACACGTTAGTTATTTTGAATATTTTACATTATTAATATTTTGAATAAACATATCTTAACATTCAAATTTATTAATAAATTGGTCAACTTAACAATGAAATTAAATTTTGAGAATTTTATTTATTTATTGATTTTGCCACATTTTTTTTCTTCATTGTTATGAATATTTGTACGAATTATCCTTTATTAACGTATAATATAAAAATATATTACACGTTCACTATAGTAAAAATAAAAGAAAAATACAAACAAAAATGGAATGATAAGTTAACATAAAGCCAAAACATTGTAATAACTTATGTATATTTATAAGTTTCACGTTTCACTCTCACCTTTAAAATGTTATATACAATTAAGAGATTTATGTGACTTTGTAATAACTACAAAATATTATATATATATATATATATATATATATATATATATATATATATATATATATATATCTTTTTCTATCTTTTGTTTCTATCCCCTAAAAAATCTTTTAAATAAAAATAATAGTAAACCATTATATCTTATAATATTTTTTTAAATAAATCCTTTTAAAATGATTAATTATCATCTAACTTATTTATTTTTCTTAGTTATTATAATTTTACAGGATCTTACATCGAACATTACTATAGGTTTGACATAAATGAACCAATTTATGTAGACACTACTAGGTTCGACGTTAAAAAGTCTCCAGCAATAAAACAAAGCTATAATGAAATGAGAATTTTTTTAACTAGTTTCAATTAAACGTGTACCATATCAAATGAAGGATTTTGATAAAGTTGAGAATTTTAATTGAGTAAATAAACAGAATCCATGTTGAGGGTAAACCATGAGAATCTTAATAGCAGCACTAGTACAAAAATATTGTACAACGTTAGTGTTTTTTGGTCTTTCACGTCGAATTCGAGGTTGACGTGATATCGGGAGATGTTAAATTGACGTCGAACATAGAACAATTTGACGTAAAACAAATTAACGTCGAATTTTTCCAATATTCGACGTTAATCAATTTTTTTGTTTTTTTTAATTAATTGTGATCTTTTGTACAACTCTATGAGATTTGAAAAACAGAAAAAGAACAAATTTCAGTTTTTTGTATTTTATAAAACATGAATTATGAACGCGTAGTATCAACAACAAACAACAAACAAGTTCAATCAAACAACAACAACAAGCAGGTTCAACCAAACAACAACAAACAAGTTCAACAAGAAAAACAACAAACAAGTCCAACAAATAAGTTCTTTAAAACGAAAACGAAAGTTAACCTTCAAAAGGTGGGTTCGTGTGAATAAAGTGTTGCCACCAGTGAGAGAGAAATCAAAATGCGCCTATGAAGGACAAGAACACGAAAATAATCTGTCAAAATAAACAAAAATCATACATAAAATAGTTAATTAACATGCATTTGTAACAAAATAAGATGATTGTCAAACTTCGTTCTAGAAAAGCTTGAGCAGAGAAGAGAGTATCGCGAGCTAAAATAAAATGAATGAATTTTTAATCTTCCGCTCAAATTTTTATTGAATTCGCTAACCTTTTAACGTCTAATTCTAAGGAATTCGACATCATACGTAGATACATTTTCACCTTCACGCCAAACATTTTCCCAAAAATTTACTCAATAGAACAAATTTGACATCGAATTATGATTGTAAATGAGGTCTAATAATTGTATTTATTTACAAAAATGTCACTAATCATTTTTAACATTGGCTATTCAGTGGTTGGACGTTGAACGTGTGACGTTGTTTTTACACTAGTGTAGGGTGTAGTGCTAGGTTAATTAGATGCAGAAACAATTTGGGAATGAAAATTGTTTTACACTACTTTTTAAAACATTCATTTATATATATATATATATATATATATATATATATATATGAAATATAGTGAATGAAATATTTAAGAAAAAAGACATCATTTAATTAAGTTCATAATACACAACTTTTCTATTTAAACTATTGAGACCTGGTGTTATACCAATTTAGTTGGTTGTTTGTAAAGGTTTTTTATTTGATAGACAAAATCTTATGTTTCACTAGCAACCTTTTGCTTAATATGCAGGAAATTCAACAAAATAATTAAAAATATATTATTCAATTTTATCATCTTTTTAAACTTACACCTAAATTTTAATTTTATGAGACAAGTGAATATCACTCATCCTTCATATGCATTCTAACCTAAGAGATATTCAGATCCAGATTACACTTACACGGGAAACAAAACTCGCCAATAAAAGGAACATAAAAAAAGATAAACTAAGTCAATTATAGCATATGTATTTTTAAGTATTTAATATCTGAAAGTTAAAGATAGAGAAATTATTGAGAGTAGTGGGGTCGTGATTTCTTTGAGCAACTAGAGAAAATGGGAGTTTTTGAGGTAACATATAACCAAATTGTCATCTAACAGGTTCATTTATGATTTGTGTAGGTGTGTTCCTGCACACATCTATTTATATCAGCAAGTGGTACTGCATTTCTGCAATCAATACGTAAGATCTTAGAGATGTGGCCATTCAGTAGAAAAGGAGATTCTGGGTTTTCATCATCTTCCACAGCAGAAGAAGTTACTCTTGGAATCCATGCTAGTGCTCTCACTGCAATTGTCACAGGTCACTATTTCTTTCTCGATCATTTTCTTTTTCTATCAGTTCATGATGTAAACTAAAAAACCAGCTAAAGAAAATATTATTTTCTTATAAAATATATTTCATTGTAATAAACATATATTTCAATTTTTTTTTCACAGATTGTCTCTCCAATCTGAACATTGAAATTTATGTTTCTGTTAAGATTTCACTGTTGGTAAAAAAATTAAGAGAAACAGTAATTTCCTTAAGTGTTAATCCAGTTGTAAGTATCAACCACGACATTCAAAGTTAAGAAATATGATTTATAACTCCAATAATATTGTGCCCATTGATTATATTGACTCTCTTATTAAACAAATGAGATGAAATTAAGAACCTTCAAAATAATAAGACAAAATTAATAAAATCATCACAAATTTACAAAATATACTAAATATTAAAAAAAAGTTAACCACAACATTGAGTTTTATATTTTTTTTCGTTTCTTTCTCGGTCAACGTAATATAATTATGTGAATGAATGAATTTATCACAGAAACACGTTATTATTACTATTCTTTTGTACTTCACGTTCATACACTAGTAAATAAATAGTTTTCTTAACTTATATATTATGTTTCAATTTAAAAAAAGAAAAACAGAAACGTATAAAAATGTGCTAACAATTTCGTAATTTTAACAACAGTGTTTTGGTTTAGTATGAACCGATGCCTAAAAATATATACTATCTTGATTCTCTGATCAATCAAAGTAAAAAAAATTACTAACTTAATGTAAATCAGACTTTTCATTTTATAACTAAATTGATTAAATTGTTATATATCATACACAACCAATTTGTCTTTATATCACTAGCCGTGAAACTTATTATATTAGTTTTAGAATGTATTTGTTATGTCGGTTATTTTGATATTATAGGTTCAGATGATATAAAAAATGTAATTTTTTTTTGACAGAGAAAAATCTAATATAAGAAGTTGAACTTGATGTTGTAATATTTATTAATGTAAGTCTAGCTACTATATGTTGATAACCATATTACAAGAAAAATACTAAACAATTACTAATTTTAATGACCAAAAGTAATTAATTACTATACTAATCAATTTAGATATTAATTTATAAAATAAAAATTATTAATAATTAAAATAATTTCTATTATAAATAAAATTATATAATTAATTTTTAAATTGATAATTAAAATAATTTTTATTATGAATTAATATTTAAATTAGTTATTAACATTAGATAGCAATGTTTTGATTACTAAAAAAATTGGTCTTTAATCAGGAAATTGATATCTAAACATATATTTTTAATCACTAAAATTTGATATTAGTTAGAGATTTATTTTAGTATGCTAACATAATATATATCGTCATTTATTATTGTTTTTCCATTAGTGTTATACTATGTTTCTTCGATGAAAAAATATTTTTTATTATCATTGCATAAAGCACCTTAGATGTCTACGCAACCATGGCAGGAGATCCAAATAGACTATTATTCATATATACTAACACCTCATACAAATACAATTCATAATCCATTTTATCAACACCTCACAAAACCACAATATTCTCATCATATAATTAGAAAACTACTTATTTTCTTTTATCAAATGAAATGGTGTTGACACGGAGTTCAACACTATACAACCTATGCGCAAGACTACCTTATAAGAAAATGTTCTATTTTCTTGAGTTTAAATAATTATATATATATATATAGTTATGTTTTTTTAAAAGAAGGTTATTGTGTTAATAAGTTAGTGACTTTAACTTTTTATTTACAGATATAAAAGATTTAATGTATTTCTTTAGATTTTTTTTCAGAATAAATATAATTTGTATATGTTTTATGAGGCATTATCATTGTTTTGATGTAATTCTTTTAGGTTTGTATTATTTTTTTTTTCAATTTAAAATTTTTAAGTGATGATAAATGATAAATAAACTTTGGAATGTCATCATATAACATAATTTAGTCATCAAAGTTCATAGTTACGTTTAACATGAATTTATTTGAAATAATTAAATTTGAAAAATTTGTTACATGCATAAACATTTTTTTATTGAAGTTGTTGATGGTGTTGAAAGAAGAACAGGTGCATCAAGCGGTATAGGTGCAGAGACAGCTCGTGTTCTTGCATTGCGTGGAGTGCATGTGATAATGGGAGTGATTGATATGATGGATGCTTATAATGTTAAGGATTCGATACTTAAACAAATTCCCACTGCTAAACTCGATGTCATGAAGTTGGATCTAAGTTCAATGGCTTCTGTTCATCATTTTGTAGATGACTTTAATTCAACTGCTCTTCCATTGAATATTTTGATGTAAGCACCAACTTCATCATTCTACTTTTTCTTTCCTTTACTATTTTTCTAACTTCCTTTTTCTCTTCAATTCTAAGAAACAATGCAGGGATTTGTGCATGTCCTTTCATGCTATCCAAGGACAACATTGAACTTCAATTTGCTATAAATTATTTAGGTATTCATTACATTATTATTATTTTTTATCATATTGGGTTGCTGGAAATTGTCAAAATAATCTTTGAACATTATTTGACAGGTCATTTTCTTCTAACAAATCTGTTGTTGGAAAATATGAAGAAAACAGCAAGAGAAAGTAAGATTCAAGGAAGAATTGTCAATGTCTCCTCCATGGGTCATAGATTTACTTATCCTAATGGAATCCTTTTTGACAAACTTAATGATCCATCAAGGTATACCGAGTACTTCAAATGTAAGACAAGTAATAATATGGGTTATTGAAAATATTTGTGCCTGTTTTCTTCATAAAAAAATAATAAAATAAAATATAAAGAAAAAAATGAAATTTACTTTTTACATAAGATAAAATCAAGTTATGCATAAATTAAAAATAATATTTTGAAAAAGTTTTATGAAAAACTTTATAAATTGAATTATGCATAAATTAATTTTAATTCATGGAGAAGTGAATTTTAATTTTTATTTTGTAAAAATTCTTATACCAAATATTTTATAATAAGTTCATGAACTTTCCACTATAACAAGACAGAAAAAGAAATAGTATAAACTATTCGTTTTTTTGGTAGATGCAACTAATTAATGTTGATTTTATTAGGGTTGACGTCATGTCCACCACTAAAATAAACATCAGTATCAATTTGCATTATTGGTGGTAATTTTTTTTACCAAATATTAATACAACCTGATGAATATATTTCATCTATTGATGACTTCAGTGAAAAGATATAATTTTCTTATAATTTATAAAATATTTCTATTATTTCATTTTAAAGATATAAAGATTTCAGCATACAAATATATTAGAATTACAGTATGATTGCAAAATATGTGTGTTTTTCATAATGCATTTGCTTTCTTATATGTACAGCTACAACAATTGGCGTGCGTATGGACAATCAAAGCTTGCAAACATTTTACATGCCAATGAACTTGCAAGACGTTTCAAGGTTCTACCACATTAAATTTTTCATTCTATAATGAAACAAAGTTGTTGTCTATAATTTTTTTTTCTTTTATCTACAATAGAAATCACAGTTATTATATATATATATGCAAGGATACTAAACCAGTCAAAAAAAACAGAAGAAAAAAAAGGCTAAATTTCTACTTGGACATACTAAAAATCCCCAAGAAAGAGTTTTTATGTTTTATTTGCTTTTAGAAGTAAATAAATACCAACAAACATGTTTCTCCAACCATTAATGAAAAAAACTGTTATTACGATTTATCATGACAAATTAAAAAATAATATTTTCATAGTAAAAATAATAGATATTATAATTGGTGAGAAAAGACTTGTTATAATAAATTGAATGGTGTCATAAGAAAACAAACTTTTTATAATTTTCATAACATAAAGTTAAAACACTTATCATTAAAAAGCCATTTTATCTATCATAAAAAGTTCTATTTGCACTAATGAACCTCAACTGAGTTTGTGAACTTAAGGGTTGTTCCTCTTAATTGTAGTTACCATTCATTAATTTCTTAGAAGCATTTCTCTAAAAATTGTTAGATTTTTTACGTTATGTAAAACTTGTTAGATTTTTTACGTCATGTTTTAGCATACTAAACTGTTTCACATAAGATAAAAACAATTTAAATATATAATTTATTCTTTCATTCTTTCTTTTAAAGATTTTTTAATAATAGAACCGTGATAAAAGTTTGAAGCGTTAGAAATCCGATTAAATATAAAATGATTTGCATAAATCTCATCTTACAAATCAGTTTTATGAAATTAAGTTAAATTTAAAATTCATTTATTAATATAATATTTGAATTAATATTTGAACCATTTATTAAGGTTAATCTTAATAAGAATTTTTATTTGTTTGGTCTTCTTTTATTACTTATATTTGTTTTTTATTAAACTTATTATTATATCCGCCGATATGATTATTGATATAATGATATTATCTCAACTAAATTTCTCTCTATGTGTATCGTTTCATTAATGCTTCAGAGCTGTTCTCATACTGTTTAGTTTCTCTTTTAACACAAAACCTGGTGAACCTTGCTGATACAGAGCTTCCCATCAGTCTTTACAAAAGTTTTAAAATTGTACTTTTAACCAGCAATCAAATATCCTAAAAAAAGCTTAAGTTTCTGGTCTTGTTTTTTATTTGACAAAAATACTTATTTTTATTTTAGCAAAAAAGATGCCACCCAATAATGCATTATTTTCTATTTTGAAAAATTGTAGGAAATAGTTAGGACAATAAATTAAAGCATACAACAATTAAAGGTTGTTATGATGTAAGTTTACAAAATTAGAAAACAACAAGATGCATTAAATAGTTGTTTGTGAAATTTAATAATACTTTTGTTCAATATTAAAATTGACCAGGAAGACGGAGTAGATATTACTGCGAATTCTCTTCATCCAGGAGTTATTAACACAAATATATATCTTCAGAATCGATTTCTGACAGGTAATTAATTAAATATTTATATAAATTTACAGTCTACATGAAAATAATGTAAATAACCGTGTTTAAATTGCTAAATAATTATACTATTAGATCTACACAATCTTCTACTTTTTTTCAAAAAGTTTCAATACATACAGTTTTGGTATTAATCTTGTATTTTGTAAATGACATTGCTTGAAAAATGACATCAATGTGTTCACGATGAATTCAAGCATACATGTCTTTATAATTATATATTGAAACATCAACGTATAGGAAAGATATATATTTTTTTCAAGTATACTTTTTCTATAAGATGATATACACGTTGAGTTTTATGGCCATCTTTGTATGGTGTATGCAGGTCTAAGGAATATTCTAGGTCCATTTGTAATTCGTTACCTAGAGCGATTTGTGTTGAAAAATGTGCAGCAAGTAAGATAGTCTTAAAAGTTTCAGAGTTTTAACTCTTGGTGTTAGATATATGGTTTTGTCTTATTATTTTTTGTGTTACATGATGATAGGGAGCATCAACAACATGCTATTTAGCATTGCACCCAGGAGTGAGTGGAATCAATGGAAAGTATTTTGCAGATAATAATGTTTCAGAAGCATGTTTGCAGGGAAGGGACATGGATTTGGCTAAGAAGCTTTGGGATTTTAGCATGAATTTGACCATGAAAAATGAAAGTGACAATGGCCAATATATAAGAAAATAGTGTGTTGTTGAAGCTTAAAGTTTGATGCTTCTGTAAGGGTGGATTTTACGTATATGTATTCAAATGTTATTATAAAGCCCTCGTTAACATAACAAACATTGTAAGATATATCTATATAGTAAAATCCATTGGGAAAAGTTTGTGAGTATTCACGTTAGTTCATGTTTTATACTGGAGAAATAATTTTCCTGAATAATATCTATAATTATTATACAATAACAATAATAATGATAAGTTAGTAATAAAAATGAATTATTATTTAACAATAAAAATAATATATTAGTAATATCAGCAGTAATAATATTAATGATGAAAATAAAATCTTATTCTAATTTCATTGCTGTTTGACCAAAACGTATATTTTTATTTAATTTATTTCTTTTCACCTTTTTCTTCATCCTTTATTTCTTTTCTCTTCATAACCACCTACATAGGGAAGAAGAAAAAGTTTAAATAACCATTCTAAATTTCATTTATCTCATTTATTATGGGTGGAGAGGGGACGGAGAGAAGCTGGAGACAAAAACCCCATATGTTGTCTTTTCTCATAATGCACATCCCCTTCATCTTCTCAAATATCACTCATGTCATGCTTATTTGCATTTATGTCTTCATGCATTAATAACATTTTTTTCTTCGAAAATTGTGAAAAACATATTATTATATTATTCTAAATCTTTTATGCCATAACAAATGAAAATTTATGAAATAGATTTTTAAATACATTTTGTGTGAAATTTTGGTATGATCATTTTCTTTATCCAAGTATCTTTCCCTTTTCTATATATATTCATTGAGAATAATTGAGTTAAGAACTAAGAAAAAAAAGGAAAAACTATGTGAAGCTTTAGAGGTGGACAGTTTCTTTCCACACATTCATAAATGTACTCCATATAAAATAAAATATCTCTTTTGCATTTTTTATTGGGTAATTTAAAGTTAAAAATGACTTTTAAATTATATAATTTAGAAATTTTTTTATGATACAATTCAGAAATTATATTTAGTTTTTGAATCATATAATTTAAAAATATTTTTTCATGAAAAATAATAATTTTTTAGTCATACAATTCGAATGTTATTTTTTATTTTCAGAAAAAAATTGAGAAATTTCCTTATACGATGCTGGAAAAATTTTAGGAAGGATCACGAAGAAGTTGTCTCATAAGTCTTAATGCCTTCTTCTTGTGAGATTCTTCACGCACCTCCATACATTTCTTGGTAAGGAAGAAGATTAAATATAAGGGTAAATATGTCACTTCACTATATATGAGGATAGAGGATGAAATTATGGAGGTGCGGCGCCTTCTTTATTTGCTAATTTTGTTTTGGGCCTCTATTTTTTGTTCGCCTCTTTTTCGTTTTGGGTGTTGCTCCCTCCACTACCATTGTATACTTCCTTCACTTTTTCACATTATTTTAAATATAATTATATCCTTAAGTTAAAAAGATTTTTACTTTTATCCTATTTAAATAATTTGAAACCTTAATTTTATTTTCCCAACACTCATCCACGGAACTCTCTTCCCCTTTTCTCATTTTCGTTTCACTTCCCCATCTCCCTGCTTCTATTCCTTTTTCTTTCCAGTTTTTTTTTTGTTTGAAAGCTTCCATTGCCGTCATGGTGTGAAGCAGCGTCGCCGCCGTGGTGTGGGGAGTGTCGAGGAGCGTCCAGAGCGTCGACCAGCGTGAGGAGGAGGAATTCTTTGCAGTTTTTGTTTCTTTCAGGTTGGTTTTCTTCACCATTCTCTTCATTTTTTATGTTAGGTAGTTTAGTTTAGGGTTTATTATTATTTGTGTTGTCTGAATATGTGCTGTTTTGTCACTATTAATGGTTTGATCTCGCTGTTGGTTCCATTGTGTGCCGCTGAACAGTCCCTGCAAAGGCCAAAACGGATGTGGGATATCCGTTTGGCCTTCAACGGATGTCCGACTTCCGTCGACGGATGTGGGAGATCCGTTGAAGGCCAAAGGAATATCTCACATCCGTTTCGGCCTTTTGGGATATTTTTTTTCAGTATGAAATATAGAATGTAATAAGCACAATGACACTACACTCTCGCAACTTAATTTTCAAAGTTAAAAGCTCCATCGAATATATCAATACGTATAATTCTTCCAATTAGTCAACTCAATTCAAAACACATTTTAATTGTAATGATGTATGAATTGTGCCTCTGGTACCTCTTTAGAATAAAAATCAATTTTGATTTTTGACGATTCATAGGTTTTTTAAATGAAACAATTATATTTTTGTTAGAAATGGTAAGAACACGCGGTGCATCTTTTAGTTCTCGAGGAGAGAGTTCGACGCAAGGCGAAAGTTGGAGAAGATCTACTTCTTCCGCTTATAGAAGGCGTGCAGGTCCTATTGAGGATGACCCTTATGTTGAGGAGCGAGCCTTTGAGGAGCAGACATATGAAGCGTATGAGACTCATGGTCAGGAGGATGCATTTCAGGCCCCTGACGACGATGACGAAGAGCATGCGAATGTTCATAACATACAGGAGGATATCGGTGGATTTCCTGGAGGTCCACGTGATGATTCATTACTGACGCACTATGTTCAACATGTAGCTTATGCTATTTCACAGGGCCGGTGAGTGCAAAAATAAAATTTATTTTATTGTTTTTTTTAATAGAAATTTTATTAAATATTGATGTGTAGGATCGAGGGGACATACTCAAGTTGATCGATCTCTCACGGAAAAAAGTAAATAAGTTAGGACCATGCCACGAGGGAATTCAACACATTGTGTTGAATTTCAGTTTGATGTCTCTCACAGATATTTATTATGATTATGTTGATAAGGGCTTACTCCTCGGATTCATAGAGAGGTGGCATTTCGAGACCAGTAGTTTCCATCTCCCTTTAGGGGAGATGTCGGTTACTCTTGATGACGTCTCGACATTACCTCACCTGCCCGTGATGGGACAAATGTGTGATTTGGAGGAGTTGGAGTTTGAGGAGGCTCGTACAACCCTTGTGCAGTTGCTCAACGTTGATGGTGGCACAGCTGGTGCTGAGATGGAGGACGCACGTGGTCTGAAAGTTAGACTTAGCTGGCTTAGAGAGATATATGTTCAGAGGTGTGAGTCACAGCATTGGGACTATGCTGTCAGAGCATATTTGTTGCATCTAGTAGGATGCACGATTTTTGCAAATAAGAGTGCTAGTTCTATACGCGTGTCTTACTTGTTGTTATTTGGAGACGTACACGCGTGTGGCAGATATGCTTGGGGCGTTGCTGCACTCGCCCATTTGTACAAACAGCTCGGGGATGCGAGTCTCGCCTCCACGAAGCAGATGGTCGGATATTTGACTCTATTTCAGGTACAGTTATAACTTTGACATTTATTTCAGGTATTTATTTCCATGTTTGAAGATGGATGAAATATAATTGAATAATTATTTTTTTAGAGTTGGATATACGAACATTTCCCTAGCATGGGAAGGAGGCGGTTGATGACTTCTTACGATGATATCACACCACGTGCCATGAGGTGGCAGAGCCCTAGGCAGAGTTCCACTCTTGCGGAGATTCGGTCATAGTTAGATGCGCTGACATACAGTGGAGTTGTATGGCATCCGTATGAGGGGCATCGGGCCATTCGACCATTCTTCGGCATCTGTATGTATTCTGGATGGATTCGGATTGGTGACACCCTTTGTCGTCATTTGCCTGAGCGTGTGCTGAGGCAATTTGGGTTTCAGCAAGACATTCCACGATCACCGACTGCGGTTCCAGATGTAGATATAGTGGCCATTGATGATGTTTGGTTGCACTTCAGAGCTCACGTTGTGAATAATGTCAGACATGCAACATTCCCTTCTGACTGTGTCGATTGGTACATTCAGTGGTTTAGGAGGGTTTTGCATCCTTATATTATTGTTGTTACAGATGACGCGCGACCGGCTCTTGCGCCTAGACAGCGCCCTGATGTTCCACAGGAGGCACGACCCCATCGTAGAACGTCTCCACCTTCACCATCTGGCGCCCTGGTATGTTATTTTTCATTTCTTATATTATTAATTTTTCTTCATCTTGTTTATTTAATTGTTTGATATAATTATAATGCAGGCTAGATTTAGGCGAATGACGAGAATGTTATAGTCCTTGATATCGTGTCGTCATGTGACCGAGGGTATTATTGCACATCAGGTGTCAATGGACCTGCTTCATATTGCTAATGAGGGCATCGACGAATATTCCCCGACTAGGAGAGGGTAACACTCTTAGAAGGGGTGTTACAACAATGGTCATGCACCTCACCTCAGTTGGAGAAAATTACCTCAATGTACATTTTTTTGAAGAAATCAATGGCCTAACCTCATCATTGGTGCAGGAAACACACCCAATAGCATTAAACTCACTCACCCATCTAAAAAAATGAAAAAATTCAACAAAAATAGAGCAAAAGCCATCATGAGGAGTAGTGTTGTTCCAGCTGAGAAGTATAGTTGAAGTTTCTGTACAAATGACCCTCTAGCTTCTGGTAATCAATTACAGAGGTCTTGAAATTGATTACCAAAGGCCAGAGGGCCATTTGTATGAAAAATTCAACTATACTCTTAGTTGGATTAACAACACTCCCCATTAAGGGTTTTGCTCTGTTTTTGGTCATTTTTTCTATTTTTTTAGATGAGTGTGTGAGTTGAATGTGAATGATTGTTTTTCAAGTGCAATAATGGTAAAATAATTTAACATTCGATGATAACCACATAGGTTCCTTGTATTCCATTACTATTAACTTGATCATGTTCATTACAATGATATCATATTACGTACATTAATCCTAAAAAATAATACAGTCATCCTAACAATTAATACAGTCATCCTAAAAAATAATACAATCATCCTTATTAAGCACACATCCATTTCTTTGAATTCTACAAATTTTTCTAAAAAAAAAAACCCACAATTAGGTTTACCCATCTAATTAGTAACTCATTTAACATATTTATACTTAACTTAACATTGTCAGAAATTCAAAAAACTAACTAAATGGTGTCTTTGCAATTAACTTCCTCTGTTGCGGAGTCAATCTTCCATTCAAATCACCAACACACTTCGTTTGAAAGAATGACGCATATTCAAGTGCATAAAAAATAAATCAATTACCAAAGGATAAAATGCAAATGAAAATGGATACATCGAAAATGTTAAAGGGTAAATCAAAATGGAGTAAGGGGAAAGGGAAAAGGGGACATAGACAATACAATGGGGAAAAGGGGAAGGGGACACGGACAATGCAAAGGAAAAAGAGGAAGAAAGCAGCAAATGTCCACTTTTCCCTTCCAAAAACGTCTTCCACAAAAGAATTTAGTTTTTTTAAAAAGACATTCAAGTGAACCAATTATTCGACAATATAAAGTTGGCAAATTTATATTGTCAAATAAACTTTATAGATAGTTGCTTTGTCCCGGTCGGTCTTTACTTAATAAATTGTGTTACCTTTCTCAACCTTTGAACAACTTATCCTTTTGATAACAACCTTTCATATGTAAAAGAGTTATTTTAACAACCCACATATTCTCTTTTCCTCCATTTGTTGACTCTATAATAATAATATTAAATTAAATTGTTTAATTGAAAAATAAATAAAGTTGTTAGATAAAAAATTAATAAAAATGGTTGTTGAAGATAATATATAATAAGTTTCGAAGAGTATAACTTAGCCCATCCTCGATATCAATACCACCTTCACCTGCAAGTCCTTATCAATCTTTTTCTTCTTCGTTTGTTCTTAATTCTCTTGGGTTATCACAAAACCCTTTTATATAGAGAGAGAGAGAGGTAACCGAATCATCTATTCTCAAACGGTCAAAGAATTCTGTAGGTAAATCAACTCCTACCAAATCCTTAATAGTTCTCCCATGTTTTTCATATTTGTTGGTAAACATTTAAAATGTCTGGTGGAACAAGGACTGTCTGAGAAATTGCTGCAACAAAAATTATTTTATATATGTTATTCAAGTTTTTTGCTCTTGTTTTTGTATTTTAGTGTTTATGTTGGAATAGAATCGAACTTATATATTAATCTACAAACTTATGCAATTCAGATTCAACCGCTGGAAAACATAGAGAAGAGGCAAGCTTCACAGATCCAAGGTCTTAAAACCAGGTTTGCTAGTGTTTCTGTTCTAGCAATTTCCAAGGTTCCTTCTAATTATTGTAAGGTCTGTTGTGGGGTTCTCTGCTTGTTTCATTGTGCTTAAAGAAGTTTCCTTCTCATACCACCTTTCTACTTCAACCTACTTAATTTTTCTGTATATTTTCCATACTGTTGCTATTATTATTTATTTATCTTCCACGTAGTTTTGGTGTATATGCTTCTACACCGTTCAAAAACAAAACTCAAATTTAAAAGCATATAGTTAAATTAGACATGAGAGTTTATTATATATAAGTGGATATAGTTAAAAGTTACACATGCTAGATAATCTCAGTTTATTAGTTTATTATATATAACTTAACGTAAATTTTATCTTATAAAATAATTCGTATTATTGAGTTAGATTTAAATTGATTTTTTAATATAGTATTAAACGTAAATTTATCATTAGATTATTTATTAATCTCTAATCTCACTGGATATTAAAAAATTTCACATCAACATCAAAACTTCATCTAACATACGTCATTTATGATTTCATGTCGGTGCATCAACCCACACTGAAACTGATATACAGAAGAATTGAATTGAGAATTTGCGACAGAGAAAAAGAGATGTGGCCATTCAATAGAAGAGGAGGTTCTGGATTTTCATGGTCTTCCACTGCTGAAGAAGTTACTCTCGGAATAGACGGCACTTCTCTTACTGCTATTGTTACTGGTCTCATTCTTCTTTCCCTTCCTCAATAAATGATTCTTTCATATTGCTTAAACGTATAGAAAACAATGACATTTTTATTGAAGTTGTTATTGTTGTTGAAAGAACAATAGGTGCATCAAGCGGTATAGGGGCAGAGACAGCTCGTGTTCTTGCATTGCGTGGAGTGCATGTGATAATGGGAGTGATTGATATGATGGATGCTTATAATGTTAAGGATTCAATACTTAAGCAAATTCCCACTGCTAAAGTTGATGTCATGAAGTTGGATCTAAGTTCAATAGCCTCTGTTCATCATTTTGCAGATCAGTTTAATTCAACTTCTCTTCCATTGAATATTTTGATGTAAGCACCAACTCCTTCTTTCCACTTTTTCTTTCATTTACTATTTTTCTAACTTCCTTTTTCTCTTAAATTCTAAGAAACAATGCAGGGATTTGTGCATGCCCTTTTATGCTATCCAAGGACAACATTGAACTTCAATTTGCTATAAATTATTTAGGTATTCATTACATTATTATTACTTTTTTATGATATTGGGTTGGTGGAAATTGTCAAAATAATCTCAATGTTTTGAACATAATTTGACAGGTCATTTTCTCCTAACAAATCTGTTGTTGGAAAATATGAAGAAAACAGCAAGAGAAAGTAAGATACAAGGAAGAATCCTTAATGTCTCCTCCATGGGCCATAGATTTACTTATCCTAACGGAATCCTTTTTGACAAACTTAACGATCCATCAAGGTACCAAGCAGTTGAAATCTATGCAAGTAGATTTATAATATATATGTTTATATTTATTTAACATATATTATAAAAGTAAAATAATTATAAAAAATAAAATTTTATATTTTTAGAAAAAAATAAAAATAGAAAAGATAATATTAAATAAATGTAAAAAATTTATACGTGATAAAATATCATTTATATTTTCTTTAAGAAACAGCAGTCCGTGCATGTCCTTTTTGCTTTTATTTTTCTCCCAAGTTAAAAAGTGTTACCAAAATTTAATTTTGCACTCTCACTGTGACCTGTTAACAACATAATATGTACTAAACAGATATAGTTGATTGATTAGCATGAAAGTGATTAATGGTGTCAGTTAATCTTAGAGGTATCCATATTAAACCTAATAATATATATACATCTTTTTTTTTATATCAGTTACTAATAATTTATAAATTTATCATTTTTATTCTTTTCGTAAGTATATATTAGGTGCGAGGTCGTAATTTCAAAGCATAACTTAATCGTATTCACAAATATTTTTGAATCTATCCATTTAGATAACTTTCAAAAGAAACTGCACCAGATTCTAAAAAAACCCAGAACAGAACCTCACTCTTTTAGGAATTTATTGATATTTAATTCTATTATACGTTTTGCTCTTAAAATGAAAA